AAAATTAAAAAAAAAAAAAGAATCCATACTTTACAAGAACGTATGCTTCTTGTTGTTGTTCTTTGAGATAGGATCTTGATTTATAGCCCAGGCTGGCCCTGAACTCACTCTTTTTTTTTTTGGTCTGTTGTGGGGCTTGAACCCTGGGTCTAGGCACCGTCCCTCAAGCTCTTCAGCTCAAGGCAGTACTCTACCACTTCTGCCACAGCGTCACTTGCAGCTTTTTCTGTTTATGTGGTGCTGAGGAATCGAACCCAGGGCCTCATGCATGTGAGGCAAGCACTCTACCACTGAGCCACCTTCCCAACCCCCCCCCCAACTCACTATTCTTCTGCCTCAGCCTCTAGAGTGCAAGGATCACATCATTTCACCAAATCAGATCACTTCTGCTCTTGCTTTTGTTTGTCCTGAATCCATCTCAGTCTGTTTTCATCCCATTTGGCTCCCCTTATTCCCTGAATTGTCAGCTGCATTCTCAGCTGTCTTACATATTGTATAGGTTCTTCTAGATGATCACATCTATTCCTTAGCAACCACTAATAGGATCTCCATCACCACTATGCTATGTATTGTTTTTTCAGCAGTCGATTTGGCATCTGAAAACTAAATCCTTTCTTTTTATGTGTATCTACCAGTACAAGGGCCTTGAACTCTTGCTTGCCTTTTTTGCTCAAGTTTGAGCTATCAATTGAGTCACACTTCCATTTCTTTTTGGTGGTTAACTGGAGATAAGAGTCTCACACAGACTTTTCTGCACAGTACGGCTTTGAACCATAAGCCTTAGATATTAAGCCTCCTGAGTAGGTAGGATTACAGGTATAATCAAGGATCATTATCTCTCTGTGTGTGTGCGTGCGTGTGCGTGCATGTGCGTGCATGCACACCCGCACGCGCATGTGTGCACATACAAGTCCTGGGCGTAAGTTCTGTCCTTGAGCTTTTTTTTTTTTTCAAGGCTAGTACTTTTTTGGTGGTTAAATGGAGATAGGAGTTTCATGAACTTTCTTGCCCAGGATGGCTTCAAACACTGATCCTCAGATCTCAGCCTCCTGAGTAGCTAGGATACAGATGGGAACAAGCCACGAATGCCTGGCTTCATTATAATTTTTATCGACTGAGCTGACTTTATAAAGACTTTGAACTTGTTACATGGGCTAATGAGAGTAGCAGTCAAGTTCTGTTACACATTAAATGTAAGAAACACATGTTTCTGCCTGGTTTGCTCAATTATGCTCTGAAGTATCTTCTACCTACCTCTTATTTTGTATAGTCACCCAGTGCCAGTGTTTGAAATTTTTTAAATAAACTAATTGTACCAATAATTATTTCTTAAATCAGTAGGGTGGGTTTTTTTTAAAGCTACTATTAATATCCTAATTCAGTCAGGAGACAGACAAAAATCCATAAAAGATGCAGATTGTGTATGTCAATCAGGCTAAGAGGCTGGGAGTTAATTTTGTGGAGCCAAAGGATTCAAACAGTTGGGAGTCCTAGAGGCTCCAACTCTCTCGACCTCCTCAACCTCCTGATTCTGGCATTCATTTTGGGATACATTTTGCAAATTATTCCTATAGATAATTATGGAGGGTTTCTGGGTAGGAATTAACATGAATAGAGATAGCATTAGAAAATAAAATATCCATGTATAGGATAAATGAGACAAACTACATTTTTGTTTCAGAAATGGAAATGAAAACATGAATTAAGATGTGGAAATTAGCATTAAAAAAGTTTCAACAAGATTTCCAATCTGTAGAGTTGGCCACTTTGGGTGAAAATTGAAACCTTTTGGGGAGTTTTATTGGGGGGAAATGACACTAAAGCACCAATTTAATGGAAGATTGATTTGGCAGTGGTAAATAGGATTATGCAATATGTAAAATGGGAGTTATAACAACAGCTAAATTGTCCTTACACAAGTGTGAAATGATGAGAATCAGACACACAGCTGAGTAGTAGGCACTCTACTAACCAATATTCCACTGTCTTTTCCAAAGTAGTGCTTCTTAATTTTTTTTGGGGGGGGGTCCGGTTGTGGGGCCTGAACTCTGGGCCTGGGCGCTGTCCCTCAGCTCTTCAGTTCAAGGCTAGCACTCTACCACTTGAGCCACAGTGCCACTTCTGGCTTTTTTTTTCTTTTTGCTTATGTGGTGCTGAGGAATCGAACCCAGGGCCTCATGCATGCAAGGCAAGCGCTCTACCACTGAGCCACCTTCCCAGCCCAGTGCTTCTATTTTTTATCCCCTTAGTTCCTGGTCATTTAGTCTGAAGTGGTGTCCAGGCATGCCAGGACAAAAATCTAGGTCAAAAGGCTCAAGTAAACAGAGTACCCTGATTTAGAGTGACATTCTACGTGTCTCTTCTTCCCAACCATACTCTAATTCCACCCAGTACTTCTAAGTGTTTGCCTCATCAATTTATCTTCTAGAACACATACATGCGGTCATATTTGTAGACTATTTATGGGTATCATTTTTCATTCTTCCAACTCCCACCAACTCTAACACAGCAGATGGAATACCCAAGAATGTGGCTTTACATCTAGACCTACCACTGAGGCTTGGGCATGTCATTTAATGGTTTCTGGCCTGAACTTTCTCATCCCGAAAACCTTTCCTTTCTTTTTTTCCTTTCTTTTTTTTTTTGTCAGTCGTGGGACTTGAATCCTGGGCCTGGGCACTGTCCCTCAGCTCTTCAAGGCTAGCGCTCTACCACTTGAGCCACAGCAGCACTTCCAACCTTGAGAAACTACAGACCCTTTACACCATATATTCCTACCTGGGCATACAAAACCAATATATAGCCTTGGGAGATTCATAAACTCCCTTCAAGCCCTTTAAGAGCCCTTTTCTTTAAGGTAATGCTTCTTAAAAATCAGTGTACTATGATCTCCCAACGTGCTTAGGTGTAGTTTCAGATCTATCCCAAGAATTTGATTCATTAGGTCTGGGGTATGGGCTAGTATTTTACTTTTTTTCGTTTACATAGTAGTCCAGATGGTTCCCATGCAGATGGCCCAAGCTGTACCATCAAATCCACAAAAACAAGAGGGTTAAGGCATCCTTATCTTCAGAACTTCTGAACTAAGATAGATGTTCATTAAAATGCATCCTAGATCTAAAATTGTGCACCTGCCTTTGTGTCTTAGCTGTGAGACTGGAACAATTAAAAAGTTAGCTTCCAGGTGCCATTAGCAAAACAGAAAAGTCTGAATTTTCCCTTTATGGGGAAACTGGTACTAAATGTATGTTTCAAGAGGAAGAAAAGTTTGAGGGATATTTACGCTTGACTGATTACTATTTATCAGTTTATGTTTTCAAAATCAAAATAAACTAAAATATATCTGTAATCTACAACTCTATAAAGAAATGGAGGGGGGCTGGGAAGGTGGCTCAGTGGTAGGGCGCTTGCCTTGCATGCATGAGGGCCCTGGGTTTGATTCCTCAGCACCACATAAGCAAAAAGAAAAAAGCCGGAAGTGGTGCTGTAGCTCAAGTGGTAGAGTGTTAGCCTTGAGCTGAAGAGCTGAGGGACAGCGCCCAGGCCCAGAGTTCAGGCCCCACGACAGGACCAAAAAAAAAAAAAACAAATCGTTTGCAAAGTAACAAGAGTGTGAAAATCTTGGCGCAACAATTTAAACCACCAGGTAACCCTATAGATCGTTTACTATTACTTTTGTTAGCACAGAGGAGAGAGAGAAGAAAAAGAGCACCACCACGTAGGTGGTACTTTGCATAAAGCACCTGACTTCTCCGGAGGGAGGTATCACTTCCGCCGAGTTCAGTAAAGAAACGGACACCCCCAAGGCTCAGCTAAGTAGCTGGGTGAGCAACACTGGCCCCTAAGTTCCTTCCACCTGTGTCAATGCCTTTCTCCCCTAGCTCTGTCACAGGCCTCTCTGCTTGCCTCAGTCTCCCCCGTTTCCGGGGCGCGTGGGGCGGCTTCTGGGGGCGGCAGGCCGCTCGTGCCGCAGCCCTCCCCGAGCGGCCCGCCGGGGCGGCAGCCACGACGCCCGGGTGCCGCCCGGTCTGTGTCCGCGACGAGCACCACATCCAACGGAAGTCCAGCGCCTGGCGGGTCCCCGCCGCCGCGGGCCATCTACAGGCCCGGCGTGACCTGGGGCGAAGGATGAAGCCGCGGGAACATTTACCTCATCCGGCTCGGGTCTGGCCGCTTCCGGCCTTTCCGGGTCGCCCATCGCGCAGACTCCGCCAGAGCTACCAGAGCAAAGAGAACGAAGCGCCACAGGCTTCCTCCACCTGGGACCGAGCCTAGGTGGCTAAGGGGTCCACGGAGCGCGACCCGCCCCGCGGCCAGGCCCCGTTTTCTCGCTTGCCCATTGAGGGAGCCTCTCCTCAGCGGCCTGGCACGCCCCACCCTCTGCCTCAAGAACACGCCCACCCCGGCGCGCCCCGCCCCCGCCGCAGGGACCCGACCACTCCGTTCTCCCCGCCTCGCCTCAAGGACCGCCCTATCCGGCCGGTCCCGCCCCCAATCCAGAGGTCCGCCCACTCCAGTAGGCCCTACCCAAGCCAGAGACCCACCTACTTCGTCCGGCCCCGCCTTGAGCTCCCACCGACCTCTTCCGGCCCCGTTCCACTCCACTGAACTAGTCTACCCTCCCCACCTGCAGCCCGAGGAATTCTCCATCACACCAGTCCCTTGCAGGTGCTGCTTCCTTCCTGCCCACCCAAAAGCTCCGTAGCACCCCGCCCACCTCTCTGCCGGGACCCCCGCCTCCTGTCTACGTCACACCTCACTTCCCTGGCCCCGCCTTCCACCCACTCACGAGGGGGTATTTTTTGATGGGCGGGATGGGCCACGCCCACCCTCCTGCAGACCCCGCCCCCTCCTCGGCCGCTCCCCCGCGCCTCCGGTGTGGAGGTCAGCTCCGAGGACGCGGCTGCGCCTCGCGCTCTGCTCACTGAACCACGGCAGGTGTGGGCCTGCGGGGTCGGGGCTCCCCAGCGGGCGGCCCGGGAACACGGTAGGCTGCGCTAGTTCTCGCGTCCTGAGAGATGGCTAGTGGTTGCGGGGCGGCCCACTGGGGAGCCAGCAGGAAAAGACCACGGAGGAAAAAGCCGGGCTTGCGTCCCGTGTCCAGCCAGGCACGGAGGAAGCGGGCGCGGGCAGGGCTGCGCGCAGCCGGGCGGGAGCGGGAGGGAGCGCAAGAAATCGTCTCCGGTCTTCTTGCTAGTGTTCAAGGCCAGCGGTGACTGTGGGGCAGTGGTGACAGTCCTGTGTAACTCCATTGACGCTCGGCCTTAGCACCATCTTCCTAGAAACCACAGCACCGTGAGCGCCAAATGGAGGAAGAAGCAAATGCGCAGGCTCAAGTGCAAAAGGAGGAAGAGGAGGCAGAGGGCCAAGTAAACCGGCGTGTGCACCAGTTGAGGCCAGAGGAACAGGAATACGGAATGCCAAAGGCCAAGACACTAATACGAGTTGTTGGACTGCTTGTCGTTGTCTACAATTTCCCAGTGGATCTAGAACTTCCCTTGCCAAGACCGTCTCTGAGACACACCTACCTTGCTCATAACCAAGCAGCCCCTGATGGTTGTGTGCCCTGGACCTGTGACATTCTGGACTATGCTGTTCATAGTGGTGACCAGATGTCACACATGTACAATAAACCATCTCTTTCGCTATTGCAGCTGAAGGCATCACAAAAAATAATCCCACCACATTTCCAATACCATGCTCTCACAGTATGCTAGCTACAATAGAAAGAAAATGAGTAAGTAAATAAATAAGGGACAGGTGGCTCATGCCTGTGAGCCTAGTGACTCAGGAAGCTGAGATCTGAGGATTTGGATTTGAAGCTAGTCTAGGCAGGGAAGTCCATGAGACTTTCTCTAACCAGCAAATAATGCTGGAAATGGAGCTATAGCTCAAGTACTATAGCTATCCTTGAACAAAAAGAGCTAAGGGACTGGTGCACAAGCCATGAGTTCAAGCCCTAGTACCAACACATATAAAAGATTAAAGTAGAGTGAAGCTGAAATATGAAGGGAACTTTGCCATAACTTCAACAACTTGCACTTATTTTATGGATTGCTGTCTTTAGTGTGAAATTTTATTTCTAAGCTTTGAAAATGGCTGTTGGCTCATTCTAAAATCTAACCTAAAAAGAAGGGAGCCTCTTTGTGTATGTGTGTGTGTGTATCGGGGGGGGGGGGGGGGAGGGAGAGAGAGTGAGTACTGGAGCTTGAACTCAGGGCCTGCACAATACTTGGATCTCAGTCTCCTGAATACCTACAATTATAGGCATAAGCTACCAGCATCCAGCCGAGTTAACCTTTCATAAAGAAACTACTAGGGCCTGGTGTTGGTGGCTCCCACCTATAATCCTAGCTACTCAGGAGACTGAGATCTGAGGATTGTAATTTGAAGGCAGCCAAGAAAAAATCATAAGACTCATCTCCAGTTAATTAGCAAAAAGCCAAAAGTGGAACTGTGGCTCAAGTGGCAAAGTGCCAGCCTGAAAAAAGTCTCAGCAAGAGTGGGAGGCCCTGAGTTTAAACTATAGTACCAGCACCAAAGAAAAATAAAAGCAAAGACATGTAACATCTATACATTGTAAAGCACAAAGGAAAATGTTCCCCAAATTTAGCTTTCTCTAATTTGACTGAAGCTGCTTGCAAAGTAAAACTAGCCAAATAAGAGCATAAGACCTAACAGTGCAAAAAAATCCAATATAAGAATGTACCAACTATACGCCTTATGTGAGAGAAGGGATGGGTTAGGGGTGATGGGTGACAATGTTGTCAGACACCTAGTATTCATATACTGTTTTGTAGAAGGGGAACTTCTTTGCACAACTACTTAAATAATAATAAAAATATTAAAAATCCAAGGTAAGAATTTACCAACTATGGGGCCTTATGGTTAATGTGAATATTGGATCAACATTTGGATAAGTCATATTGTAAACTAGCAATGGCCAAAGTGGGGGCGCTGTTTAAGGGATACTTGTAGTCACAGCTATAGGAGGGCAGGGAACTTGTTAATTCACCTCTTCTGGGGGCCACAGGAAAAGTAGAAAATGACCAAAAAAAAAAAAAAAAAGCGCTACTTCTCTTCTTTCTTCACTTAAACCTTAAAATGCTGCACTTTAAGATAGTATTGAGCCAGGCACTAGTGGCTCACACCTGTAATCCAGTTACTCAGGGGACTGAGATCAAGGATCAAGGTTTAAAGCCAGCCAGGGCAGAAAAGTCTGTGATACTCTTGTCTCCAATAAACCACCAGGAAACCGGAAGTGGCACTGTGGCTCAAGTGATAGGTAGAGTGCTCGCCTTGAGCCAGTATTGATGCCAGACACTGTGTCTCATTTCTGTAATCCTAGTTAATAGGCGGAGACAAGGATTGTGGTTCAAAGCCAGGCTGGGCAGAAAAGTCCGTAAGATCCCATCTTCAATTAACCAGCAAAATACCTGACTGGAGGCATGGCCTAAGTGGCAGAACACCGTCCATGAGCAGCAAAGTGACAGCAAGAATCCCCCAAATTCAAGCCCCAATACAAACAAAATACTGGCAAGTTTCTGTCTTCCTTGTTTGTACATTCCAAGATAATCCTGCTTGTTTTATTATTTTAATTACTATTTTTTTCTTGGTTGTGGGGCTTGAACTCTGGGCCTGGGTGCCGTCCCTGAGCTCTTCAGCTCAAGGGTTAGCACTCTACCATTTGAGCCACAACGCCACTTCTGGTTTTCTGGTGCTTTATTGGAGAGGAGTCTCACAGACTTTCTTGCCCAGGCTGGCTTTGAACCACAATCCTCAGATTGCAGCCTCCTGAGTAGCTAGGGTTACAGGTGTGAGCCACCAGCGCCCAGCTGCTTGTTTTATTTTTCAAGTAAATTTTATAATCTTTAAGATACTCCAAAGACTTTATCAAAACTAACATTACCTAACACTCAAGAATCAGTCTGTAATTTTCTCCTTGCCTTATACTAGTACTAGGTATTTGATACCTTGAAATAAACTCATTCACGTATGTGTATACTTTTAAATGCTTTCAGACTAGTTTTAACATCCTTAGGCTTATCAACTCTGGAGACTTTGTATGTGGTGTTATACTTCTCAGCCCCTGAATATGCATCTCTTAAAGTGCATGTGTCCCTGACTTAAGAGTATCATGAAATGAAGTAAAGGTCAGCCTTGGGTGCTTTTAGATTAAGGCTCCTGGTAGTAAACTCATTCATTTCTTACAAATTTTTAGACTTTGTATAATCATTTTTGTACATTAAATGGCTCCATCCTATTGATTTTGGATGTTTGCTGCCTTCCTTGATGGGAATTTTGCTTTCTAGTGTCTGAAGAAAGGACCTGATGAACCCCTCTAGGAATCAAAACCTCTCCTTTAATTATGCTTGGATTTTGGTGCCTATAGTGAGAAAAAATATGGCTGATTTATTTCCACTCTTCTTGACCCCAATCGATTTCTTGGAAGTTCAGAGGATTCATTTTCCCATGGGCAGAATTTTTAAGGAAACATGATACAAATACAGGTATGTGTTCCCTAAAGGTACTAAACCAATATAAAGGTACTCATCACTTCTGTAAGCCATACAGTGCAAGTCCATTAGAAAAACTTCAACTCTTATGCTACATAGGAAGGAGCATAAGGCACTTAAAAATGTATTAAAGGCAAACTCATAACTCTCAAAGCTCATTAACTATTCCAAAAGCTTGCTAGACTAACAGTGTAATTGCCAAATTTCATCTTCAGCATTGAAGGAAGCATTTCAAATACAAATGCATTAACTTGATGCTTTTTCTGAAGAGATCTAACTTGTATCAGAGCTACCAATTAAAGGCTCCAGAATCTAGAAGCAATCAAAGCGGCAGTCTACAAAAGATTCAGGAAATTGAGTTGTTTTATCCTTAAGACATCTCATCTTACAGCAGCCCTTCATACCTACGAGGTAAGAAAAATGTCAGATATCCATTATATGCTTTTCATTTTAAGACCTTTGGACTAAGGTGGGTGACACAGCTGACTTTAGAAAATTGTACTTTCCAAAATAATGCACCCAGACTCTCAATATTAATTTTATTATTCTATCAACACACTTTAGATGTAATCATACATTCCACCAAAGAATATAGCCCAATGTCTAGGAAAGCAGACTCCAGAATGCCTACAGATAAGCTTAACAATTTATCACCTGCTGCTGTGTAATTTGAGCCAATTACCTAATCTGTGTGTTTGAGGACAGTGATAAGATTAAAACAAACAAAAAAAACCTTGACAAAATGCCTAGCAAATATGAAATGTTGTTTAAGTAATGAGCAACTTTA